GCATCTTCACGGGCCAAAAAGAACACTATTGAAAGGCTTGAATGTGGCCGCAAACTTTCATCAATATCAGTTGATAGGAAAGATGGAAATCCCCTGAAGACTGTGTGTGTGGAAATCACCGGCCGGACCATTACTGTGACTTCGGATGGCTTGAAGACGCAGAAGTATCGCTTACCTGTATCCAAAACCGCTGGCGTCAGCTTTTCCTTTACAATGGACGATTTACGGGAGAAATCCCCGTCTACTCCACAAGCGACGCCATCCCAGAATCCGCCCGTTGCGCAGACATCACGGAGACTGCGTGCGCGAGACGTGCAGGCGCCAAGATCAAACCCAACCGTAAAACCTCCTAGAAACCCCGACAGAAACGGAATGAAACCTGAACAGAATTACGGGAACCGAACTGCCACACCCCACTCAATTGACGTTCAAGGAACGAGGGGTGATCGGTCCCAAACCTCTCAGTCGGCATCCAGTGACAACGTCTCGTCTGGCATGGAAGAATCTGAGCTGAGAAAATTCCTCCAATTTCTCCAAGGCACAATTAATGCTTACAAGCTCGATCACCGTAAACTTAGGCGTTCCCAGGGTGCAAACAGGTCCACGCCCCCCAAACATATTGCTCCAAACGAGAGTTATTATAAGGGAACAAAATTAATGGACGTGATTACGCACGCTCTTGGTGATAATAACTCAAAGAACCTTACTGGTGGACGGTCAACTCGATATTTCCGACCCAAATTCCCTGAAGACCGCTCTGGAAGACTTCGATGAGATTAACTAAATGTTGACATTGAAGTGCCTTTCTATCTCACCTTGTAATTGATTACTTTTCGTTTTGGGCTTATTTTTTAGTACTAATTGCTTTGGAGTTGCTATGTGTTCAACTGCAGTTATAAAAAATTATTTACATTTGTCTGCACTGTGACTGCTTGCCTTCATAGGAAAAAAACGCTTCAAAAGCGCTATAGGAGAATGCGGTCATAGGAAAAAAGTGCGCCAGCATACTCTTCGAATGCCCCGGCGGCCAACCGTTGAGGCCTGTATTCGCGTGAAGGTTAATACAATTTCCAGTGGAACCTCGGTTAACGAGGTTAATCCGTTCCAGCACCGAGTTCGTCGTGTGAAATGCGCGTCTTGCGAATCGTAGCCAATCAAACTGCATCAGTTCACTGATTGGCTGTAGGCGTTCAAGGCCCCAGGCTCTGGGAGCGGTGGACACTGGCACACACGTACTGACTACTCCTTAACTGAACGGAAGCTCGTCAATCGAAACAAATTTTCTACGGGTGGCCCGCTCGTTACCTGAACTGTTCGTAGATGGGGCTGCTCCTCATCGGAAGCTCCGCTGTAATTGCAGACCGCCCTCAGGATGGACCTCGCGACGAGATCGAATGAACAAGTAATCCTACCTAAATGAATTTAAACCAACATCCATGCACTTTTCATCCACCTATATACGCCAAAATATGTTGGAGAATAGAAAAATGAAGAACTGTGTGGAAGTTTCGTTCGCACGGGACGTTAGCTAGGCGGGGAAGAGGACGCTGGTAGACACTAGGTAAGACGTCAAAATCTTGTGTTTGGCTACAGTAGATTCTCTATGTCATGAACTCTTAACCCAAAGTCTGAAATATGCCTACGGTTCGAACAGCATACTTGAGTATAATTTTAG